CACAACATAATAGACATCATGACATTAAGCTATTAAACTACAATTCCATCAAACAGTTAAAATATTAAACTATTGTAATCTACGCATGATTATAATGCGAGACTAATTTTATAATACTTTTATATGCAAAGTAATAAAGTAGGCATGTACGTAGCACGATATAATTAGAAATAAATTTGTTCCCGAAAGTCCCGGGCCTTAACCCCTCATCCGAAAAAAATTCTACTAGCATTTTTGTCGCCTTCAAAAAGAATTACCCATTTCTCACGGTTGGTTACACGAACTTCTTTATGGTTTACCCTCTGTCCCTTGCATCGTACATAGTTAAAGGATGGCCAATACAGCGTACGTATTTCTGCGAAAGTAAGTCATTCACGTAGGCTATTTGTAAAAAGAGTAAGAGGAAATACGTAATCGGCATTAGATACGGTATTATTGAATGAAAAGTATGAATTCCGCATTCGAATTAGAAAAAATTTCTTTACCGTAAAAGCAACAATAAAACTGTGAAATTGCAAACATCGTGATATTTCTTCATTATCATTTAATTATATAGACCTTTGTAAAAATACTTCCCTCTCTCTCTTTTTTTTTTTTTTTCTTATATCGATATATTGTACATTATACGTACTGTACCTGCAGATATGACCAACGTGAATCACAGAATTATAAATGCTTAACCCATCAAATGTTCGGAAGATAATCGAAACCTTTAGTATAAAATCATAAGCATTATTTTTCAAAGCATTCCACATAAATACACGCTTAACATATTTATATTTAATGATATTGACTTTCAAAACAGCGGGACAACAAAAGAGATCAGCTTCAGATTATATACTGTATCTTATCCGAGTTTTGTTGTTTCGTTGAGATGTAAGAATAAAGAATCAAAATAAAATATGAACATGAAAATAAAAATAAAAGTAAATAAGTCGAAAAAAAAAAAAGAAGAAGAAAGTTTCTTTTTTCGATACTCCAAAAACTTATGGTCGTTATCAACTTTCCATGATTATTTCGGTCGCATTTCTAAATATGCAAGGTTAAAGTTTGAGTTTTTTCTTGTCTTTTATAAAATCGATAATAGCAATTAACCAGTCACTTACATGTCAAGTTCTAGGGTATATTGTCTGATTAGTACATATCACTTTCAACCAAAGTAGAGCTACTTAAATACAGTAAAGGGTTTCCTTACCACATGTATATTCCTGTCCATCTAATTACGCATAGTAAAAAACATGACATTAACCAAGGCATACTGACGTAGTGAACAATTTTAATTTTAAAACCTCACCGTGTTCATTAATATTATCGACTTCATGGTTTGATTATTCGAATCATCGTTATTGTAATTATTACGATCGGGTGAATATTTAGGAATGTACTCTGTACAATTGAAAGTTTATAATAAATTAATAAGAATGATGCAATATGAAATCTTTAAAATTTAATAAAAAAGGAACTACGTACGTACCAAATAAATTTCGTGACCCGAGAATGTTTAATGATCTACTATAAAACACTGCATCTGGATGATCATGTTCGGCATCTGAAATGCCTGAAATGCCGGATTTTATCATTTCTTTATGTTTTGCATTTGCAATTTCAAAATTTTGGATATCTTGACCTTTAATTATTTCATCTATTGTTGGTCGTTTTGAGGGGTTTGAATCCCAACATTTCTCCATTAAATCTGCCCAACACAATGGCGTATCCTCAGTAATTTCGGGTCGCAATCCGTTAAAAATCCCCAAAATGAGATCTACATCATGAGCTTTATTACGGAATGGTCGGCGACCGGACGAGATTTCCCACATAATCATACCTAGACTGTATATGTCAGTCTGGAATGAATATTTTCCGGAAAAATTCTCTGGTGCCATATAGGGAACAACACCACAAATTACGGCGTTTCCTGAAGAATCTCGTTTTCCATCTACGGGAAGGCTTAGTCCCAAATCAGTAATTAATGGAAATAAGCCACCATTTTTTTTTTTTTAATATTAATATGTTGCCACTGTGTAAATCCCCATGTATAATATTTTTTGATGGATTCCCTTAATGGCTTCAGCTAATGCAAGGATAATCTTTCTTTTGGCGACCCAACTTATTCGATTCGCAGTTTTGATTATAAAATCACGTAAACTTCCAGATTCTGCATATTTCAAGATAAAAATATAATATCCGGTTTTAGGTTCTTGCGAAATTCCATTATATGACGATGCTCGGGTCGTCCTGATTTGAATTTTTGTAAAAGTTTCAACTGCGATAAGATTAGTGGTTAGTTAATATTAAATGGAAATAATCTAAATAGAATTACAGTAAATCGCATACCTCATCAATAATTTTAGAATCTATGTCTTTAATATCCTCTACCATGTTTTCTGCCTTATCAAGAACTTTTAACGCCACCTCTAAAGGATCAGAACGCCTGTGTTTTGATCCCATCGTTTAATGTACCCTTTGCACCACTTTGCCTTTTGAACTTTGCTAAATCCACCGCTTCCGATATCTTCAATATCCGAAAATTCCTCATATGGTATCCATTCTATAATGTGTTTTCCTCCGTTTCCAATCGACGTTTTAAGAAAATCATCGATCTTTTCATTACCACTGTTCACCACATTTAACTTTGTAATAAAGCAAAGCCTACACAAATCGGTGTTCATATTCGCATATCTCCTTCTTCTCCCACAGTTCGAACAATTTCCACTTTTATATTTATTTTGAGAAATATCCTTAGGCCTCCGAGGTTCAATTTGAATATCCGGGGTGCTTAGTAGCGCTATGTTAGTTTTTAATGATTTAATCAATTTATGTACAACACGTATACGTATTGATCTAACTGATATGCATCATCAGAAATTACTGTACTTGGACATTTACCTGAAGACCGAACAACATTGGATGAGCCTCGTGAGCATAAAATAAGATTCGCGGCTTCTATAGTAGAATTTAATAATCTAGCATGGTAAACGGATTTTGGATGGTTTGGTCCGGCTTCCTTTACAAATGGAGTCTTGGATGTGACCATTTGTTGACGTTTCTTCTCTGCCTCTTCGTATTGATCAAAACTACCATGAAATCTGTTTGTGGCTCGGAATATTGTTTCTGCATCTGGTCGATTTGTCGGATCTGGATTCCAACATTTTTGCATCAGATTTTTCCAATAGTCAGGGGTATCTTCAGTACATTTGGGTCTCAATCCGTCACATATGTCCACAATGAGGTTTTCGTCATGTGCCCTATCGTAAAATGGCTGATAACCGGACGTAAATTCCCACATAATCATACTTATACTGTACACATCAGATTGCAAGGAAAACGACCCTCCCTTAAAAATCTCAGGTGCGATATAGGGTATAACCCCGTATACTTCGGAACATTCTAAATTTTTTTTGGAGGGCTGGTTAAATCCTAAATCAGAAATCCATACGTTTTCGGATGTTTTTTCAAAATCTTTGTGACGAGCCTTAGGTGGTTTAACCAATATATTTCCACTATGTAAATTCCGATGAATTATTTTTTTCTCATGAATTGAATGAAGTTTTTTGGCAATATTATTAAGAATGATTCGTTTTTCAATCCAGATTATCCTATTAAAATTTGTCTTCAAATGGGTTTTTAAGTTGCCCATTCTTGCATATTGAAAAACAAAGATGTAATTTCCAAATGTTGGTTCTTGTGAGACGCCGTGGCAATAGTTCGTGGACCACCTTATAAACTTTACCTATGAAACGTGGTGATTAGCGTAAAGAAAAGAAAAAACAGGAGCATCCAAAGCTTTACCCAATTTTTACCTCTTTTAAAAATTTAGAATCCAGATCTCGAGATTCATTAAGAACTTTCAATGCTACCTTTGTTGAATATCTTCGTAAAGATTCTTCGTTATTCGCTCTCCATTTATAAATCGGTCCCTTATGCCAAGTTGCTCTAAAAACTTGACTCAAATCGCCTTGACCGATTTTTTTCTATGCTTGAAAATTCTTCGTACGGTATCCACTCCAAATTAGGTCTATCTTTTCCCATTAATTCCCTGAGAAAATCATCGATATCCTTATTTCCACTCATTTTAAGATTGAATTTTCTGAAATAGCAAAATTCGCATGCTGCGTTTGCTAATTTTCCCTTCTTATGGCAATCCGAACAAATCTCTTTTGATTCCAATTTTGTTAACGAACCATGCTGAATTTTGTCAACTTCTACAACTGTAATATGATTTATTGTACGTAGTTAGAAAATCGTAGTTTATAAACATAAACCGATTTTGAAGTTTACAGTTTACGTATAAATAAAATATTGATTTACCCAAAGGTCGTGTAATAACAGGAATCCCTAAACCCAAAATAGATCTTGCCGCCTCTATTACAGGATTCAATAATCTGCTGCAATATATTGAATTCGGGTCAATTGACTCATGTTCTTTTGTGAGCAATGTGCCATAATGGATTGTTTTTTGACGGCTTTCTTCGGCTTCCATGAATTGTTGACTATATATTTTTGTTTCTTCAGACATTTTCATGATTTCTTCAATTTCGGGTCGGTCTGAAGGATCTAACTCCCAACATCGTTTCATTAAATTTTTCCAACACTCGGGCGTTTCCTGTGTAATTTGGGGTCGCAATCCGTTACATATTTCCACAATAAGGTTTTCGTCGTGTTTTATATTGTGGTATGGTTGACAACCAGATGCAAGCTCCCACATAATGATTCCCAAACTATATATATTAGATTGAATTGAAAGTGGTTCACCCTTAAATATTTCGGGTGCGATATAGGGTATGACGCCACAAATAATAGAATTTTTAGTTGCTGGAAACCTGAGATCAGTGATTAACGGGAACGAACAGAGGGGAGGCCTTCGGAGCATCAGTATATTTTCGGGGTGCAAATTTGGATGAGGATAATTAATATCTTGAAGTATCCTAATTGATATCGCGATATTATACAAAATCTCTCTCTTGTGAATCCAGGATACTTTATTGAAATTAGTTTGCAAATATTTCCTTAAATCACCGTCATTTGCATAATTCATAACTAGGATATGGTTTTTAGATACGGGATCCTTTGAAATTCCGTAAATTTTAGTAAGGTGCATTTTTTTTTTTTTTTGTATACTTCCGTGTGGATACACAAAGGCGATTTAAAACCTGAAACTGCAAAAAATAGCCGGGAAATGAATAATTGATTTATAAAGTAAGACTCGAATAACTTAGGGTATATACTGCACCTCTTCTAAAAGCTCTGAATTCACGTTACTTGATTTATCAAGAACTTTCAATGCTACCATTGTCAGTGGTGTTCGGGATATTTTTCCAATTTCATATGACGGCGTGTAAATTTTCCCTTCATTCCATGTTGCCTTATAAACTTGACCAAAACCCCCTTGTCCAATTTCCTGAATGTTTGAAAATTCCTCATATGGTATCCATTCCCAAAAATTTAGGCCAGAATATTCTCTTCTCCTCAATGAGTCTTTTAAAAAATTATCGATTTCCTGATTATCACTTTTTCTAATCAAAACCTCTCTATAATAACAGAACCCACAGAATATCCCGCCATCGTGTATTGTCGTGTGTTTTTTTTTCTTTTGACAGATTGAGCACGGTTCGACTGAATTTTTTCCCTTTTCAATTTCGGGTGATATTTTACCGGCATCCAAGTTTGAGCCCATTATACCCTACAGTAATAATCGAATATTTGGTGCTCTTGTCAAACACGCGCAGTATATGCTGTATACAAATCAAAAGGTTATGGCTGAATCGAAAAATTATATTTCACTCATTACATATAGGATATCGCACGCAATACGTAATCCCATTTTATTATGATTTTGGAAATAATCAGTGTAATTGTTAACATTGTTATTGGGAGGTAATCAGTTTTGTCCTTGCTTCATTTGGCGTTGGCTTAGCTATTACATAAAAAGAAATAATGGTTTTTCGACGTACAGTATAGCGAACTTTAAAGTAATAAATCTCGATTATCACCTAACAAATTTGGCGCAATACGAGTTTTATTTTATTTATTAAAGTAAATGGTATCTATCTATATAATTAATTTCATGTTGGATAGCCATTTACTCTAATAACAGCAGTGACTCTAAGAGGCCTACTATTGACTAAATTAATTAAAATATCAGGTTTAATTAAATTCCATTTTTTCCTTTAAAGCAATAATCAATTCATTTTTGTTTTTAGAATGATTTGATCATGCATTAATTCTTTTTAAAATATCCCATAAATGTTCAATTGGATTAAGGTTTGAAATTTAAGCAGGTCATGAAAATGATTGAATTTAATTGTTGTTTTTTCATTCTTTTATTTATTTTGTTTTATGTACAGATGTATTGTCAATTTAAAAAAAAATACAAAAGAATCATTAATAAAAGATACGAAATGATTTTCAAGAATTTCTAAATATATTTGACTATTAATTAAATCAAAAATCTCAATTAAAGATCTAAATACATTTTGTGTATAATAATCTCATACCATAACACCTTTTTTACTAGTTTTATAGTAAATAAAAGATAGTCTATATCATATTTTTCATATAGTTTTCATCAAACCTATTTACATGAATCATTCTCAAATATTAAATATTGAGATTCATTATTCCAAACATAAATAAGTTTTTTGCTTTTCTATTAATGAATTATTATTGTTCTTACAAAATAAAGAAAGTTTTACTTATAATATATTGAAATATGAAAACAAAGGATATTATTTAAAATAGTTATAAATATTCTTAGAAACAACTATTATTATATTAATATATTATATGTATTATTAAGAGAGATAAAAATAAAGAGCAAAATAATAAAACACTAGTAAAATTCCTTTAACTAGATATGGCTGCTAGAAGATATCATACTGAAACAATATGGTCCAGTTTCTACTGGGTCACATAAGAACTTGGGATCTATTATAAGTTATCTCTCTACTACAGGTAAATAAAAATCATTGTCCAAAGATAGTTGAAACCAAATGTGTTCTAAAAGTAAAAACTTCTACTAGGTAATAAGTTTTCTCAAATGATATACAAGAAGAAAACTAAAATCAAGAATGAATAAATTTCTCAAATGATTAGAAAAAGAAAAATATCTCAATCGGGTATTTCTTATTGAGAAGAGATCTTGAGAAGTGGGTCTTTGGAAGAAACTAAAAAAATTTTTTCAATTTTTACTTTTTCATTTTCTTGTTATCTACTTAACATTTTTCACATTCCTTCTCTCCAGCAGCTTAGTACAATATACAGTAGTGACAACCTGCTGGCAATGATGCAGTAAACTAGAAGGGTTTTCATCCAAAAACACTGTGAAACGAAATATTATCCTTAAGATTGAACTTAGAGGCTTTTATGCTTAAGATGAGTTAGTTAGATTAGAATAATAGTCTAGTTATAGTATGTATCATGCTATTCAAATGAAAAATGTACTTATGTTTTCAATTGATTAATAAATTGACAATCTAGTCTGGCTATAAGTACTCAAAAAAAAAAATAAAGAACTTAACATATTGTCGTGGGCTAACTTAACGAGTTCATCACTAATTTGTAGTACTTCACATAATCCAGAAAACTCACAAATAATTACAAACAATACAAAGAAGAGAACACCTTATATAAAGAACACTTAGGGAAGGTAGAGACATAATAATTGACTTGATCAAAGGTAAGTGTCTCTTTATTGCATTTTGTTTCTTTAATATATTACTAACTTTTATCTCTATTCTCAATGAGGACTATTTTCTAACATATTTAGTACTACTTTCTTAACATATATTGGTAAGCTATTTATACTTTTCTAACTAATAATGGGCTATCTACTTTATAATCAACTATGCTTACTCTAAACTCTGCTAAACTTTCCATACTTTATCAGATACACATAGTTCCCTTATCAGTACTCAAGCCTTATTTATAGTTTTTTACCTTGTGACACTTACTCTTTCATGCCAGACTTTTGAATTTTTGGATTCTAGACCATTACACATCATCCACATGACCCGTAACAATATAGTACATTGAAAAATTATAGAAATACTATAATATAACAAAATTTGTAAAGATTTTTAATTATACAATATGATATTAATAAAGCAGATTCTTAATACCTATTTTTTAAATTTATAAATCTAATTAAATTATTAATTGTATAATTATAATTTATTTTTTAAACAATTTATATAAAGATAATTTAAAGATTTTAATATTACTTATTTTATATTTTTATTATTAACTTATTATATTTTTTTTATAAAAATGGGAATATTAATATATTATATAGTTATTTTGCAAAATTATTATTCAATTAATAAATACTTTTAATAGTTTACATATTTTATATATATTATTATAAAAATCCTTAAAATATTACTTTAATATATTAATTATAATATTAATTTTTATTCTTTAAAATCTTATACAATATTATTTCTAGTTAATAATTTAATAACAAATAATATTTATCAATTATTACCTATGGGTCGATAGTGCAATGGTTAGTACTCCATAGGTCAGATCACAAGATCTGATTTCAATTCTATTCAAATACAAAACTATTATAAGAAATAGAATTCATTCATTGATATAACTATAAACTAATTGATGTTTCTAAATATGGTATCTGGTATATATCTAGATTGTGATTAGGTTATAATTCAAATTGGATAGAATTATCACTGACACAATAGTATTATCAGAATAATAGCAAGAAGAGTAGATTTCCAAACTGATAATATACCTCTCAGAATCAAAACAAGAACATAACTTGTCTAGGGACACAAATAACTTAACATGAACTTATATACAAGAAAAGAACTCTTTTATAATAAGCCAGTTTTGATCTTTATGCATATGACTATACCGGCTTTTACAAACTTAACTATTAGAAGGTCTTAATAGAAGGAGAAATCCATGGACCACTCCAAAGAATCAAAAACTAGGATCCAAAATATTGAATTTGACAGCCTAATAACTAAAATACTCTCAATAAAAAATTGTTCTAGGAATAATTAAGATGGAATTATATGGTCTTCAAGTTTAGGGATTGTGTTAGTAATAGTTGTATATAGAATTAGTTCAAATATATATATAGCTATCCTTATAGATAAGATTTACTATAACATATATATATAATTAATTATTTGTAATAATATAATAGTTTCGATTAATAAAAATTACAAATTAAGGCTGTGGACCCATGTGAGACATAATATAATGTTTGTTGAGCAAGTATTTAATTCTACAGGAACAAGAACACTATATTGGAGAGAATTAAGTGCGATAAATAAAGTAAGGAAAAGAAACAGCCTAAAATTATACAAAAATCTCTTAACAAGGCTTACAAGTACAACCAGAGTACAAGACAGGATAAAAGATAAAACCTATAACTATCTGATATTTGATTAAGGCAGACCATTGATAAGGATTAATATCTACAGACCACACTGAAAGGTGATACTCAAATAAATAAAGTAGTCATAGACAAAAAGAAATACAATGTTAGCCCCAATACAGTAGTCTTTATATACTATAAAAGAATAGAAGAAAAATTACCATTAAAAAAATGCAAAAAATACAATTTGAATAAAGGAAAAAACATACCATTAAAATTATACACTTTTGCAATAAAAAAACAATACACAATTCAGATTCCAATAAAGTAATCAAGTATCTCAATTAAGGAAAACAAGAACAAGACCATAACCACACTTTGTTGCAAAATCTCCCCAGAATCCAATATCAAAGAACTAAATAATCTAACTGAAATCTCACAAATAGAGAAACCTTATATGCAGCTGAACATCAACAATAACAATTGGGAAGTTATTGATTTTAACAAGTTTTTTAATCTTAACAAATTGGAATTGAACATTCTGATTATGATGCAAAAATAAATGAAAAACTGTAGACTAGTCACTATCTATATAGATGGATCAGTATCATACTATGAAAACAGATCATACATGGGCTTCATCTGGATCATTAAAGATGAAACAGGAATAGAACACTCCTTTCAGGAACAAATTCAATCTCACATTTCTCAACTAGAATAGAAATAATGGCTATATCAATAGTAATAAATATTCTCAACAAGAATATGATAGTACACCTATACATAGATAGTCAAATAGCAATAATGAACCTAACAGAAATAATGGATCTGCAAGACTTAAGAAAACAAAGAAACTTAACCAGACAATAATTAATACCTTCAATAATATTAGAAAACAATAGAATCTGTATATAATATTTCATAAAGTGAAGGTACATACTGAAATCCTTTCCATTGAAAAAGCAAACAGGCTAGTTAGAATTGATTCCATATAATAGCATATAAAACACAACTAAAAAATTATAAACATAAAGGGACAACATCAGGGTTAATCACTAATAGAAATAATCTGGAATATAACAATAATAGACATTCTATAAAAGAATCTAATAAAACAAGTCAATAAGGCCATTAGACTAACCAAGTAAAAACTGTTTAATAGAATACAAAACAGTTTTACAGAGAAGAATTTTAGAGATATATACTGACAGTATATATTCAGCACTATATATTCACCCAAAGTGAATATAAACAATATATCAGGTCAAGATTACCACATGCAAAAGTTTGGTTTCAACCTCTGATATAAAGAGCTTCCAACTCTGTGCAAACTG